ACATTTCAAGAAGACAATAAATATAATCACCTCAAGCACAGGTTGATGAGGTTGAGATGCTTCCATGTTTCCACTAGCCTTCAATTCCAGTCTCTCAGTATCTGTAGCAACACTGGAAACATCCAACTTAGCAATCCTCTGCTCAGAAGTAGTAGGAGACTCGAGTATGTTACCATGAGACTCACTAATTAGTTTGGTTTCTCCGGCAATGTCAGCTGTTTTCTCCCCTTCCTCCAGCATCTGACCAAAGTCTGACTGGTCAGTTGTCTGGGAAGCAGTAGTGCCTGGTGAGGTAGCTGAAGACCCCGATGCTGTCATTGTCAAGATGCCAGAATCTTTAGGGTCTTGAGTGTCAATGTCAGTTTGCTTCTTACTTACAGGTTCTTCTTCTTGAAATATTAATTTGTGGTCATTATTAAACACATCAAGTCTTTCACTGGCTTCAGATGCAGCTGGAGACAAACGATTATCCTGGAGCTCTGTGGGCAGACTGGCTTCCTCAGTAGGGCTACTTTCTACCTTCAGTTCTACATAATCGTCATCATCTTCTTCCTCTACTATTAACTTATCCAGTAATTCTGGCACCTCTGAAGCATCCTCTTCTGAAGGAGAACTTATGGAAGCAGTTACTTCACTGACAGTCATTGTATCTTTGTCAGTTGTTTTAAAAGAATTAGAGGAAACAGTCGCAGCTTCTATTATGTCAGAAGATACTTCTAAATCACCTGTATTAACTGTTTCATTTGTCAGTGTTTCTTCTAAAGGGACTTCATCCAGTAGCTCCTCATTTTCTTGCCCAGTTTTCCTTTCTTCATGAGATGTATTATAAGTTTGCAGTTCAACGCTGGATGCAGACTCTACTGAACTTGTCTTCTCAACACTTGACTTTTCATCACCATTTCCGGTGATATGAGAAGACAAGGGAGAATCCTTTGTATCTGACTGCTGGGGTCCTACTGAAACATTAACACTCCTGCTCATGCCAGAGACTGCTTGAACTGGACTTGAAGAACACTGTCCTATTTCTTCATTAATTTGTCCCCGGTGTTCCCTAAATATATTGGCAAGGTTTTCTTTGTGTATTTCAAAAGTGACCTAAATGAAAAACATACAAGCAGTCAAAATATGCTCCAACAAATGAACAGAGCATATAGAACATAAAATAAAAATATTTAATTTTTCAAATACATGGTTTATATAATGCAACAAGATAATTTTCCTGTATCTTTATCACATAAAATGATAAATAAAACATAAGTCAATAACTAAAATCTAAATACTTAAAAAATTATAGCTAATCTTAATGCTAACAGGTGGCATGCCATTAAACAACAACAAGAACATAACTATTTAGCCTATTTTTAAAGATATATAATATAGGAAAAGAATACACTATTCTACTGACCTCTATAATTTTACTAGGATCTAAGTATGTATCCTTGGGAAGTGCTTTGTGCACTATGTAATACATTGTTTCAAATGAGATAAAAACCCATTTCCCCATGATTTATCCTCAGCAGAGATAAAAAATATCAATTATGTTCACTTTATATATTATGCATATTATATACTTATATATTATATATGTTACATATAACAGTAGCTCCATATAAAAGCTACTAAATCTTTTTCTTACTAAGCTATAGAATTCAAATTCTTTTAGCAATTAAAAAGAACGGTCCAATCCTTCCCCAAAGGTCAACCATAATTTTCAAAATTGAACTGATCACAAATGATGTGAAAGTTCCAGTTCATCCATCCATACATCCATTCATTCCACTTGTATGTTATATATGAGAGACTACTATGAATTCAGCACTGTGAACATGTCCACATCACGCTTAGCCTGTAACCCAACTAAAAGGAAAACATTAATTAAAAGGAAAAGTATAAAAGAGAGTGCTGTGATTATCAACGTCAAAAGGTTTATAGTTTTCTTATCCCATTGAGAATTACTATAGTCACAATTATGTGACTGCCACCAGTGTTTCAATGGGAACACCTCTCAAAAAAAAAAAAAAGGGTAACACCAGCAGAAGGTATAGGCATAATTACAGCTTATCAGTGCTAGAACTGTTTGCTCCTGTAACCTGTATTATTACAACATATATAATACACTGAATCTTTACTCAAGAAACCTTCATTGAGCCCTAGTATATATAACAGGATGGTAGGAGATAATAACAAAAGAAGATCCACAGGGCTTTTCGGATCACAGGTGCATATGCACGTGGGTAAAAGGTAAACAAAATTATTAACTATTAACTACCCTTTCCTCATGACATACACAACACATTCTTGCCATAATGCAGTATAACTGAAAATAAAAATATTTAGGAAATAAACATTTTTCCTAACTGCAAATATTTGGGAACTCATTTCAAAATGCAGTGCATGTACTCAACACCAAAGAGTAAAATGGCACAGTAACCTTAACAAAATTAATCAATTTCTTTTATACCCAGAAGGCCAATACCGTCTTTAAACTGAGTTCTTTATTTTAACTGATTAATTCCCCATTTATTCACTCAACAAAAATGCACTGATCAGCTGTAGCATGCCGGGCATTGTGCTACCCATAGAAAGATCTACCAAAAATTATGCTATTAAGACAGATATGCATCTAGCAAATTGCCCTATATAACAAAGTAACATTCTTTCAGTCAAAATTTCTTGGGCAAATACAGATCAGTGATATTAATAAGACAGGCCCACCTAAAAAAAAGAGAAGTTTTCTATTCTTACGAAATATAAACAATTCAGACAAATGAACATCAAAAACAGCTATTCAGAGTAAGTCAGTATGATCACAGACGCGGGAATAAGTCTAAATCAATTACATTTAAATAATGAAAGCTGGAACTGAGGCATTAGGTGAAAATAATCACAAATGTTTTAATAACCTAAGTATATTCTGAGCCAGCATCACAAAGTACCAAGTTATAGAGACAAACAGAACCATTGCAAATATCCAGAAAAACATGTAAGTAAAAATGAACAAAGTCTGAAGTGGTGGAATGTAAATAAAATATAAAATTTTTGAGTGAAATTAAAAATAAATTCAAATAAGAAAAAAACTAAGACACTGGATAATTAGTAGAGTAAGGATAAATTTTCATCTTATAATAAGACCAACAGTGACATTCCTAATGTGGGGTGGAGGCGGACTGCCACTCCACCTCCAGATCTACTAATATAACTAGCACAAAGAAAGTTATTAGCAAAAACACTGTAATCCATTCCAAAGCCAAGTATGTTCCCATACTAAAGAGCACTGTTTTAGAGAGTACATCAAGCAGACTTGAGACTAAAGAGTTAGAACCCACATTATTGCCATTATAAAACTCATTCAGGATGTTAAAACAGTAAAATTTCAAAATCCTATGACTATCTTTGCCCAATATATATTTAAGATGAATGTCAATCATCATCCTAAAATGGTGTACAACAGGGACTTAATAAACATTTTGAAATCTTAGTATCTGATCTACATGTTATATCTAAATACTAATATTTTTAAACTACTTGGTAATAGGACACAATCTTGAGAAAAAACCGTAAAATGATAAAAGTACTGAAAAATATCACTCATATTTTTATCTTAATGCTTTCATCAAGGTTACTAACATAGCTACATCAGAGAAACAAAACTTTTATACCTTATTTTAGCTATAGCATATAGTCAATTATATAGAACTGGCCTTTCCTGCTGGTTTATAAACAACTTGAGGAAGTTCTCTTGGGTTTCCATATCTCCGTCAAGGCCATTAGAAAATATATATATTTGCTATCCCAAATTCCCTCTGAAAGATTTGTTTACATGATGCTCTTACCAGTGTTCACTTAATTTACAACATGTCGTCATGGTCTTTCAAACATTTGATGAGACCGTTCATTCTAAGCGTGAAGTGTAAATCTGTGGAACATATTTCTTTTTCACATTCTAACTATATTCATAATCAGCAGACAAACTTTCAATTGGCCATTTGAAAAGACAATTAAAAGCTAGTATTTAATGTTAAATTTTCAAGCACAAGAAGATGGTTTAGATAATACACATTTCAACTGAAAGTAATGTACAGTTTCATAAAGTACATTATCAGTGTGCCAGGAATATATTTTCTTTTGTGATAAGCAGATTTGTAGTCAAATCTGTACTAAACAGTGCTTTGTCTTTCCTAAGCAACCCAATTTGCTTACTTTTTTTTTGTAAGTATGAATATTAAAAGTGCTGTTAAGTTTTTGAAGTTGATTTTTAAACTTCCTTTTAATGTACTCCAATAGTCTAAAAGCTAAATGACAACAGAGTAATTATCATTGTTGTTATCTTTTTTTGATATTGTTTTCCTAAAGGTATTTGTGACTGATAATTCTTAATTAATTACCAGATATTGTTCTAAATTACTCAGCTAAAAGACTACTCATTAATCTTCACAATCATTTGATAGCTAATCTATAGCTGTTTGTAATGTTTGGAAAACACTCTATAAACTACTAGTTAAAGATATTCATGAGCTAATAACTACAACATTTCTTTAGCTATTACTTTCAACTTAATTGGCTCAAATTTACTAATTAGGAGATAAAAGATGAATGCAATATTGCAAGACACCAACATCATTAATCCATGTATTTTAAAAAATTAATCTATAACATTTAGACTGTTTTAAATGTTAGGCAATGTTTAGGAACTGGCTTTCTTTTTTAAGCAAATGCACCTTTTTCATTGTATGCTATTTTCCTTTGGAAATCTAGCTGAATATGATATGCTAACTTCTAACTCTTAGAGGTTACCAACCTTTCACATTTGATAAATAAGACATTTTTCTTTTAAAATAGCTGAATCTTCCCATATGTGGTATCAACAAGCACAGCTCAACATGACCACCACCACATAACAGGACATGTTTTATCGAGACTCGGATACAACAGCTTGCAACAATAATAGTGTAAGGTAAAAGATACAATAGTTAAAATCAAATTGTAAATATTTGTAAGTGTATACATATTCAGTGATCTACTTTATACAAAGCACCCTAGTTACAAATCTGAACACTGGTCAAACCTACGCTCTTACATACTACCCTAATAAAACTTGAGTGGAGGTGTATCAAGCATAAAGCCTAGGCCATCCTAACAAAACTGCCTAAAAGAATTAGTTATGAAAACAGCATTATAAGTTCAATAACAAAGAGAAACAAATCCCATGAAGAAAACAAGTCATATATATACAACAAGCACTATACATTTGCGTAATAAGCTTAAAAACATTCTTGAATAGGTAGTATATTTTGATGGGAGTCCAGAACACACTACCCCAAAATACGGCACATTGGCATACTGATTATTTTAAGATGAAGGAATCTGAGAAACAGTAGGTGCAGGAAAGACTCTCTGACCTCGCCGCCCTCCCCTGAAGCAGATCATAGAAACAGCAGGTTCTAGGATGGCCCTGTAATTTCACCCCTTATAATCAGAGGTGCCTTCCTTACACCCAAACAAAAAGAGCGTCCTTATCTCAAAAGACACAGGGATGCTGAGAAGAATCTGAATGAACAGGCTATGCTGTCCCTCCCCCAGTTTACTACCCTTAGTTCAAACCCTTTGTCTGACCAGGTTTTTCTTGAATTTCCACTCTTCATCAAACTTAAAATTAAAAAAAAAACCTCAAACTTAAATGTTTCTTTGGGTCTTCATTACCTTATGAAGGCTCCCATGTACATAAAACTTACATTAAATAAAATCATATACTTTCCTCCTGATAATCACTCTTGGTCAGCTTAAATTTCAGTTGCAGTCAGGGACCTTAAGAGGGTAAAGGCAAAGCTTCTCCTCCCCTACACGTCACATGACTTACATATAAAATAGTATATAGTGTAAAGTCCCCCTCACACCCGGTCCTCACCTGCACAATTCCTCAACAACCAAGCAATCAGCCATTAATTCCAGGGTATTTTTGTGCATATAAACACACATATGAATTCTCATTTTCCCACTTATTTAACTCACTAATATCCACTATACACTCTGTTCCACACTTCCTTCTGTCACTTAATATATCTTGGAGAACTATCTCAGAATAGCTTTAATTTGCA